GGTCATGGCTCGGCTCTAGTCTAAGGATAGATGCTCGACCACATGGACTTGCTAATAGATGAGGGACATGGGTCAGACGAGTCTGAGGATCGTGCCGGAATGCATGGGCCCATAATAGGATAGATGTAAGGACCATGGCCCTGCTTGGTCTTAGAGAGCGAGTTGGGTGGCATGGACTTACAGTGTGATCACGTATAAGGGTGGAATCCGAATTAAAGACCCACCGAGGCTTTGACAGCGGTAACACATAAGATAGGACCCCGAATGGGCCTTACCTTCCTACGGGAACAGGGTACGAGTCCAGGGGCAGGATGCTGGACTCCGACCGAGTGCTCCGCGGGGACTTGGGTAGCGGTGACACGTTCTTTATTTTTGAATTATCGCAGGGCGATATAAATTGTATTTTTGAATTATCGCAAGGCGATACAAATTGTATTTTTGAATTATCGCAGGGCGATACAAATTGTATTTTTTGAATTATCGCAGGGCGATACAGATTGCATTTTTTGAATTATCGCAGGGCGATACAAATTGTATTATTAAATACAAATGGGGAAATTAATTATCGCATGGCGATGCAAAGGGTTTTTGACAAATACAAATGGGCCTATGAGCCGACTATTTGATGTTATATACTTATGTATGTTTTGAAAGGGGTAACTATGGGTTATTTCCTAGAATTATGATAACACCTTATGTTGAGGGTCTTAAGGATTGAAACATTAATTATATGCAGTATAGTTGTCATTGTAATTTTCAAATGCTTCAAAGTACTGACCTCCCCTTCACGGGGGGAGGTCACCTCACAGTTTTCAGGTTAAAGCTAGAGCTTGCTTCCTGTACCCGTTGCTTCGAGAGTTCTAGGAGGGAAGACGTGATTCGTGCTTCCTCCGTTCTATTTTCAAAACAATTATAATAATGCTCTTGGATAATATTTTCTAATAAACTATTTGAGGGCTTGTATGCCTAAGTTTGCCAAGTGTGGCTTTGACACTTGTAATATTGTTTCCGCTGCTTTAATGAATATTTTACATTATGTTTGTTTATGGATGTGTTAGACTGCGGTTGACTATTCGTATTGTACAGCGGGTTGTTGACGTGTCTGGGTAGGTCCGGGGCGTGACAATTCCACCATGCAATATGTGGGCCCACATATTGGGTCATGTCATGGCCCACATGCGATTGGATCATTCATTGGGCTCCTGGACTGTCCATTAGCCTACGAGTCATCCATAGTATCTGGATCCTAAGGTGAGGCCACAGTTTGTGAAAAACCCCAAGGTTTACGAAAAACCTAAGGTTCGTAAACATGGTTTAAAAAGGAAATACACCATTAGTAAAACTCTTATTTTCTGAACGAGCCGAGTTTATGAACACGTGAAGTTTTACGAACATGGCAAGTTTTACGAAAACGACAAGCTTTCCGAACGCGTCGAGTTTTACGGAAATGACAAGTTTTACGAACGCGCCAAGTATTATGAAAATTACGAGTTTCACTATTACGTCCAGTTTTACGAAAATGATGAGTTTTACGAACACGCCAAGATTTGAAAAATGAGAAAATTGTGCAAAATAAGACTATTTCATAGGGTTTTAACTAAAATAAGACCTCATTAACAATTTTACTTCCGTAGACCTCTACCTGTCTTATTTCAGGAAACTCAACTCTAAGTTACCTAAATTACCCCTAACTGCTGATTAATATATTTGACATTTTATTCGGTGCTCTGTACGCTCGATCTTCTTCAACGTTAGCCCTCCACTTCGCATAAATAACTCAAACTCAGCCTGCAACAATTCCGCCGACCAATTTTCGTCAATGGCAGGTGAAATCGCTTCAAAGTTTCGACTTCCGACTCATAATCTTCATCGCAATTTATGAATTTTGCCTTATGCGATTTGGTGTTGTAAGTTTGCAAGACTATTGTTGTATTTTTCGTTTCTGTGATTACAATTTTGAGTCCTTTGTCTTTTCCTTTTACTTGTCTGTGAAGTACGTGGTTGTCGCATTCTTCACACTCTATGAAATTTTATATCCCCAATTTGTAACCAAGATACATTTGTATAGTTTGTTAATTATGCTCAGTGGACTTCAAAATTCTTCTGCAGTAATAGCCTTTGTACCTAATAGTTCATCTCAATTTGGGGATTACGTGTTCTGCATTTTGTTGTTATAGCTCTCTGCATTTTTTGGATTACAGTCTTAACATTTAGAGCCCGTTTGGAGAACTCTGTTTTCGGCTTATCAGGCTTATCAGCCAGCTTTTTCACCAAACACGTAACTTTTACTTTCGCGCGCTGAATTGTGTAATAAGCCGAAAAAGTAAGGTTGGAGTTACTTTTCTGGCTGTATTGGCTGAAGTTACTGTAGAGGACCATTTTAGCTATTTTTACATATAATTTTTTCTTTAATTTATTAATAAAATATATTTTAAAAATATTTTTTTCTTAAATCAGCAGAATCAGCCAAAACAGCCACTCTAGCCAGAATATCATAAATTTCAGCAGAATCAGCCAAAACAGCCGATTTTGGTTCTACCAAACGGGCTCTTAATGTCTGCTTAGTGTCTTTTTAATGTCTTTTTACCATTTTATTACTTTTCAGGTTTGATTTTGTGCATTGATAAGCACAACAATTATCTATATTTTATATAGGTAATTATGATTATCTGTACAAATTTTCAAAGATAAAACAGATAAAAATCCCAATTTGAGCGAAATCGCACTTAGACGTCAAAAATGAAGAAACGAGAGTCAATGGGGAAAAAGGGACCAAGAACCGGCACATCGAGGTCAACAACGGGCGTCAAACGGAGCAAAAAGTGAATAAAACACAAAATGGGGTTAACCGGCGCCGGTCCACTCCATAACCGGCGCCGGTATGTTGTTTTTTCGCACAAAATAGCAATCCAGTAGCTTAACCGGCGCCGGGTTGCCCTTATAACCGGCGCCGGTTAGGCCATTTTTTCAGCTATTCCTGCGCTCAGTGAAGAACCGGCACCGGTTAGGTCTGAAACCGGCGCCGGTTAGGTCCGATTCTGCATAAAACATAAAGACGTGCAACAATATTTTGATGGGAAAACTTCACCTTCTTCATGATCTGATCAGATATCTCTCCCATGCCTAATTGCTGGGCTTGAATAGACTAAAAGATGCTAATCTTTAGCCTATATAAAGCCCCCAATTCATCAAACAAGATCATCAATCCATCCTTGAAGCTTAAATTTCAGTTTTTATATTTTATTTTTGCATTCTCTTGAAGTGTTGGAGAAGAAGCAATTTCTCTCCTCTACAATTGGTTCTAGGTATTATTTCTTGTATGTTATTGTATTTCCTTTATCTTAGTTACACTTTTGTAATTAATATGAGCATTAGAGGCTAAGTTCTTAGCTAAGGCTAGGGATGAACTTCTATGCCCACTAGGTGTTTGATAAAAGTTCTAAACCAATGAATTGTGATTTATCCTTTACATTTTGATTGTTTATGACTATGGTGTACAACATAGAAGTATGTTAAACTTAGTTTATGCTTGCAATTAACGTTGAGGTCTAAACTATGAACATTAAAGGATAAACATATATATTACCGAGAATAGAAATATATCCGGTATTATATGATACGGGTGTGATGTCTTGATATTCAACGGGGTTTTCAGTAGATGAATGTAAGCCGTGACGGGACTTACACGTAACGAAAACCACGCTCTCGCTGCCTTAACCGGAGTTGAGAATATATTAGCGACATCGTATTCATAATTTTTGGTAAAGAACTAATATTCAACCCTATTAAAGCATTTAAGTGATTCCTGAAGCCTTAGTTGTTGTTATCAATCACTTTAATCAAATTAATTTAAGTTATATCTCTGAAAATTAAAAAGAAGAATCAAGTTGTTGTTTTCACAACAACACACAACTCAAAATCCCTGCACTTTACTCATTTATTTATTTAAAGTCATCTACTCTCGGACTAAATTAAACAATGTTTCCCTGTGGATTCGACCCGGTATTTTACCGGAATTTATTACTATATCGGCACTTGTACACTTGCAAGTTTAGCCCGGTCATGCATACATGCTCACTCGAAGTGAGAGAAGCCCCCCCCCCATTGTCAAGCCATCGCAGATATATTTGTTGAACTCATCAAACATCGACATGTTATTTTAGGTTAAGCTTGCTACTCAATTTGAGTTTAAAGTGGTGGACAAATATGTAGAAGTTTTCTTGTTAATCTCAAAGGCAAAACATGGTCATGTTGTGAGTTTCAACTTGAGCAGTCCATATGTTTTCATGGTGATGCAGCCGTGGATCAACATCAAGAATTGTCGTGTTATGATTACATCTCAAAGGCTTACTTCACACACGAGGGAATTACTCTTTATAATGTTGTGGTGCACCCTATTGGTTCTTGCTTTGATTGGGATCATCTTGGTTATGTGTAGTCCATAAGGCGCAGCCCACCTACGTACATTCTCACACGCCAACTCAATAGACCTGAAAAGAAGCGTGTACTACCTTCAGTTGAGAATTCGCTTCTTGATAGCGGAAGTACATGGTGTTCACGGAGTAAGAAAGGCGGACACAATAAGAAGTCTACTTGGAATCATATTCCACCTAGTCCATAGTTGTTAAATTCACAATGTCACATCACTTCCTTTTATTTCATCCAATAAGAGTTGTGAGACTTTTAGTTTTATGTATTTTGCTCATAGTTTTAAATTTCCAAGATTTGTTGGAGATGGACCTTATGTAAGTTGCCATGGTCTATTGGAAGTGGAGATGATGTTATTTTGTGTTCGTACTCAAGTTTAATGAATAATGGTTGTTTAAAAAAACATTAGCATATATATATATATATATATATATATATATATATATATCTACAATCTTATAAACACCAATGAAGGTAAGGTTATTTTGGACATAGAAAATGTGTTGGTGTACATTAATGCATTTGAAAGTTGTACATCAGGTTACACTCATTGTACTTGCTCAGAGTATTGTCTTTCTTCCGTCATAGCCATCTACGTCTGCCCTTCGTTGCCGTCAACGTTTCCGTGCGTTTAGCTAAAACCTCAATGATTTTCTTTTGTTGTCCTTCTATGCCTCACAGGCTTTTCGTTGCCCCATCATTTATTCATATTCGGTCCCTCACAATTCGGATTACAAGCATTTCCTTCATTCTCTATAGAAATGGCTCTGATTTGGAACAACACTCTCTCGGAAATCAACAGTTAGGCTTAAGAATCCGAATAAGAGATAAAACTGATTTCTTGGTTGTGATGATCAAAATATGGCACCTCTCTCACCGTCGTCCGGAGATGCTTCTGTGGATTATCTTTCCGTCTTATAAACTTGAAGCTCGTGCATGCTGACCCAGAACTTAAAATCGAAGTAAGAGCATTTCTATTATCCAATCGCTATGATAAAACAATTGGATGTTTTCATCACAGTTAAATAGATGATATTGAATCTCAATATTTGGTTGTAGGGTTGGAATCGAAGGAATGGTTCAAAGATTCTGAATAGCTCGATGACATTACTTGATTCCCACTGTTTTATTCAATCCAATCTTTTGATAGATGTGCCATTTCTTCGGTTCTTTTACGTAGTATTCACATAATAGATTTTCATTGGGAATTCTGGATTTGATTTTGACTTAAACTACACATTACTAGAATTTTCTAATATTTCACTTCTTCAATTGAAATCCAATGTTTAATTCGGTTGAAAGTAAAATAAAAATCCACTCCGAAGTGCAATGAATAAACATTAGATGAATCAACACTAGATGAATACACATAATTAGATAATTAGTCTCTATGGTCAAACATACAAAGAGAAAGGAGGTAATCTTAGTCAGCATTATTTAGCAATGAATAAACCCCAGAAGGCCAGAAGTACGTGCTTCTTCCAAGGCCACATTCATCATGGCTTCAAAGCATTTGATGATGAGTTATAGATTGAATCTGAAATATTTGATGCTTCTCATCAAGTCAATAATTGTACAATCGGTGATAATTTCAATTCCTTCATCCTTCGCGTGGATTTTGAAAGAAGTGCGTGTGTATATGTAACGTATATATGTATATCAGTATATATATACATATCTTGGCCTTTGATCACATGGAAATGGATGGATTAGATGAACTTTAAACACAAGAGACGGTTTAAAAAAATGTGCAAATATTTATACTATAAAGTGGATAACTACTGATTAAAAGTGCACTCATGCATGTTAAAAAAGATGGCCAAAACTTTCTAACTTCTGCACTTTTTATTTTGTAGTGTATTGCACTTTTGTGCTCTACGTTTCCACTTTTCGACTATTCTCATACACATTTTTCACAATATTTTCAATAAAATTTCTTCATAATTACCAAAATGCCATCGCGTTTTTCACTTAAAATTTGATCTCTTCCATCCATTTTTTCACATCAATGGCCAAGATTAGTTCTTATTTTTCAACTAGGAAGCACTTTTGATTTGGTCCATGCTCTCCTCTCTCTCTCTCTCTCTATATATATATATATATATATAGAGAGAGAGAGAGAGAGAGAAAAGATCAGGTGAGAAGTGCCCCTTAAAATGAGAAGTGAGAAGTAATCGATCCTAGCCCTTAGATTTGCATCTGATTTTACAACGCAGTAAACTTATAGACTAAATATAGGAACTTATAACCTATAAATCATAACTTATAAAGCTCTCCATAATAATTAAGAAAATGCCACCGCGCCAAAAAATTTTCCAAGTTTCCGTGTTATTTTTTTGCGGTGACATTTTTGTAATTATTTTCGAGGGGTCTATAAGTTATGATTTACTGGTCAAAAGTTTCCATATTTAGTCTATAAGTTTAACTTCGCAGTTCTCAGCCTAAGAGCACTTTTCACCTGATCTGCTCCCTATATATATAATACACAATTATATGGGTAAAATATATATGCATCCTAATGATCCTCGTATTAAGTGTATGCATGCTTTCACATGTTCTGTGATGTTCTCTATAGCAGGCTAGCTAATAAATAGACCATTTAGATTAGTGAATTTTTTTCTGCCATTTAATATTGTGCCATTTAGAAGAGCATTGCTTATAAGTTATAAATATTTTTAATTTGCTCCCTTAGTGCCTTTTCTTCTGGTACATTATCACAGAGCACTTCGAGGAAGAATAACCAAATTCAATGAACGACATGCCACTCTTTAGGACCAGTCCTGTGATATCCAATATAATGGAGATACAAGAAGCTTATATGGAAGAATGTATATCACTCGCTTTAAGACAAGCCAAAGTGGGTTTTCTTTACATTTAGAAAGACATTCTAAGCAAAAAAGAAAAATGTCAAACACTCTTGTGATAAAGTTTGCGAGCTTGTATTTTATCTCATTTGGAACAATTAAGTTGATACACTTTCCCTTATCAACTTCGTAGGAAGTCTTGTAATAGTGTATTCCATGAAATGGACATTGGGCATTTATTCGATCGCGCAACGCGCGTTAGAAAAACTAGTATATATATATATATGAAATTAATGTCTTTTTAGTGTCTGATTACTGACCACCTTTGTTGTACAAATTTACTGTCTACTTTAAAAATACACTTAGCATGTCAATTTTGTCCACTTAATATGTATGTGAAACTAATGTTATATGAAATGTTTTGGTATCCACCTATAACAATTCTATGCTAATATTTATTTTATATGTCTTGTATCTAATATTTATTTCACTATTTTAGTTTTTAAAGTCCATTGGTACTATAAGATTTTAATTTACTTAAAGTTGTAAGTAATTTGTGTACTTACTTTAGTTGTAGTCATTTAATGTCCCCGTTTGTTTATTAAAGACTTTTTATTGACTATTTATGAACTTCATCCTATAATTATATTACAACAGTGAACTCAACATGAATAAAAAGTAAAAATGAACTCTCATTTCATTTGAGAAAACAAAGGATATTATATATGATCATATTTCAAATAAAATGTAACTAATATATAACCACAATTATATTGGACAAATAATACTTAATGTGTATTACAGTCCATCTCAGTCCACACGCTTCCTTCATGGTGCACATTAGTAGCACTGTACCCATTATGTTTCACATGACCATCTTCTATATCAATATGATACCGTCTATTCTCAGATGAAACCATGCATGACACCTTAATATAAAATTTGTAATGTAAATTAGTCTTCCTCCGCAACTTCTTCTGCTGAAGAAGAAGAAATTGATCAAAATATTCTGATCTTAAGGAGAGGATGATGATCCAAAATATTCTGATCAAAATATTCTGATCCATGCAGATCCAATTTGAAGCGAAACTTTGGCAAGAAACCTCAATCGTGTTCAGAATCCAATACTGATTCCCAGAATATAGCCAACCTTTACCATTCGTATCTGGTTTCTCCATGTTGTCCCGTGTAGTTTCCAAGACTACTTTGACTTCCTGTAACATTTATTAGTGAAATATTAAGGCCAAATATTTAAATATTTATTTTTAAGTATTATATTTACATTATTACTTAATTCGACATCACTAATGCTATCTTCTAGCTCTGTCCCTGATATCAAATATGTATAGTAGTATGTGTTTCTTTCTCTGCATTAATTTGGTGTGCCTACTACAAATCAGGTGATTTTTTGTGTATCAGTGGCTAAAAAGCTAGAATGTCAAAGCTCATAGCAGTCTCTCTCTAGCTTTGACTCATTTAATGGATTCTAATTTGTTTAACATTTTCCCCTGTTTTAATTTGAAGGTTTAAGGTTATCAAATTTATGCTTGGAAATAAATCTGTGGCATCTCTGTAAGTCAATCAAAGTGGTCTTACCTCTCTTATTCCCGACGATAGTATGCGTTGCTGCCTCCATCCACAATGTGATGAGCTCAAATGGATTGCCGGTATGGTTTCTCTGAAGCAAGAGAAGAATTACAAGCTGTGAAAGACAAGACTTTTAGACATGTTATTTGAAGGGCTGTACATGACAAAGTTTGACACCATAGCCCTGTACGATAGTGTTTTCCGAGCTAATATCACTGACGGCGATTTCACCGACGTCGAAGGCTTCTCCATGGAAGGGTTATGTGCCTCGATCGCGATTAAAGGCATCGTCGTCCATGAGCCAATTGTTCTGTGAATGGTGATTTACTAGCTAATTAATAATCAAGGGCATTATGGTCAAAATAGGCATAGTTTAGTCCTACGCTTACTTCTAGTCCTAGTTTTAGAAAGTTGCTAAGATTAAGTCTTATATGGCAAGGTAATTCTCCCTTGCAAAAATGTCGAGTTTCACGTTTACGTCCAGTTATACGAAAATGACGAGATTTACGAGCGTGCCAATTCAAGTTTTACAAAAATAACGAGCTTTACGATTACATCCCGTTTTTTGAAAACGACGGGTTTCACGAGTGCGTCAAGTTCACGAACATATCGAGTTTCATGATTTCGTCTAGTTTTACGAAAATGATGAGTTTCACGAATGCGTCAAGTTTTATGAAAATGATGAGCTTTACGATTTCGTCCAGTTTTATGAACGTCTCGTCTTCTTCATCCATCCCTTGTAAAAATAACCCAAACCACAACAAATGCATCCTATATTCCTCTAGGCACATACAAGAACATTTTAACAACATGAAATCACTCGTTCATGCTCATTTGGTAGTCAAATACAAGACCCAAGAGTTAAAGGGCATAAGTCGTCATCTCACCTGAGAAATGGCGAGAATAGCAACCCTTGATTGTGATAGTCCTTTCCCCAGCTTAAGCTCTATCTCCATGTTCTTCTCTGACCTTGAACGGATTGAAAACGGCGAAGATCAAGTTTTACGTACAAAACTCTCTAAGAACTCTCTTAGGCTCATGTGTCTCCTGCGCCGCAAATGTCTAGATCGTGGGTTTACTTTTTAGTCTATTAAATGAGTTTTGGCCCATTGCTTCCTTTATTTTCCCAACCTTCCAATTCATATCTATTTTAATTAATATGCGGCTCGGAATGCACAAGGCGGTTCTTGCCCTACGTGAGTTCCACAAATTTCAATTTAATAGTTCTAAAATTAATTGCTAGGAAAAATTAACAATATCTCATTCATCCGGGGGGACGGTGTCACATTGCAAGCCGGTGTCTGAAATGTGAACATGCATTACATTTAGATCATAAATATATATAAAAAAGGATAAAATTATTAGACCATGTACCTTCTAGTGCAGAGCAACTGAAGTAGGTTGATAATGGTGAGTATGTAGCATAAATGAAGGGGAGACGAGCAACAATTTGATAGTATAATATCATCTCATGTAATCCAAACCAAATCATGTCTGTGTCGACAGTGTCCCGGTAACAACCGCGTCCCATCGCCCCTCTCCCACATGGAAATGTATCGCACATGCTGCAGTGACAAATCATTTGTAGGCTTTCCTTGCACGTCGATCTTATGAAGCTTTACACACTCACAGGTGTCGGAATTACCTACTCAAAGTGAAAACGACACAATATGTGACCTAGAAATGTTGGAATCGGGTTGATCTAGTATAACGAAATAAAAAAATTCTGCCTGAAATATTTGATGGGATCTAAAGGGCTAGAATGAGAACCCCTCCAAAAATGAGAATTCATTTATAAATGAGAACTCTTCATCTCCACCTTTGATATATCATATCAAGGGCTAGAATGAACAAGGTTGCATTTTTGTAATAATTTTATAATAATTACAAAAAGCACCCCATTTGAATTTTGAATAATTACGTGAAGGACCTCATGTGCATCCTACCAATGATTGAATAAAATGAAAGGCTCTGATTAATAGTTCTTATAATAAGGAGTTCTCATTCTAGGAAGGGTTCTCACTACAACCCTCCCCAGATCTAAAGCTCATACTATAAACAAAATCACATGACACGTATTTCAAATTTATTCAAATAATGATCCATATCGCTTAGGTGTGGAATCTTGTAGAATTTACATAACATTGGCAATAGGTCATATTATTATTTGAGACCCACAAGCCATAAACAGTCTCTAGCAAAGTATTATGACTACCCAAGTTATATAAATGTCTACTGAATCTTACATAACCTATTTAATAATATTTAAATCTTACATTCTTACCAATTAGGAATATTGTGCCAGTATTCCCATTTTGTCAAATGATATCTTGATTGAGGTAAGGATAGACCCATGTCATCCTTGTTTTACTCAATTGTTGTTTCTCGACTTCCACGTAAGAGTAATTTTGAGAAATGACACATAGCTTATGCATGACCACGCTAATTAACCTTACTTATCATGGGGCAATCAATTTCTTTTCCTGAGTGATAACCTTTTTGATCATTCACATACCTCTACACAGTGGCGTATCAAGAAATTTTCGTGAGTGGGGGCAAACTCGCAAAACAAATTTATTATTTCGGAAATGTCACAAACATTAAAACACATTAAAAATATTGTAAAATTAATTATAAATAACAAAATATTTGTTCGACAAATAAATTATGATAATACTTTAGTAAATTTCACCTTATCAGCAACAAAGAAGTCATACAATTTTTATTTTATTTGAAATTATGTTAACAAATCAATGAATCTGATAAGAGAGAGAGATGTATTTAGAATTGATTTAAGTTGTGGATATACAAGTATATGTAGAAAATAGTTATATTAATTGAAAAAAATGTTACTATTAAACCTTACAAATATATGTGAAATTAAAATTGTAACTATGTTAAGGTATTTTAAATCTTTGGGAAAAAATTAAAGTAATTATGTACCACTTAAAATTCATTCTAACTGCTAAAGCTTAAAAAAAAGGGCCAAAAATGAAAAAAAAAAAGGATCAAAAAGCCTGATCAGCTATTCGAACCCTTGACTAAGGGATAAAGGGTTACATGCACGAAACTCACACACCACTAAGCCGAATGCTCTTATGTTAACAAATGCTATAATTAATGTATAAGGTCTTTACGTTAATCACAAAAAAAATATAATTGTATATTAATTATATATATAGGGGTTGGGTGGGGGTTGAGTGGGGGCAGCTGCCCCCCTGCCCCCACGTTGTATCCACCACTGCCTCTACAAGATTCATATTACATTTAATCACCATTTTTTATAATACTCCGTAACTCATTTAAAGCTAACGATAATGATGTAAAAACATATTGATTTTCATGTTTGTAGCCATGATGTGTAAGGTATACGAATATAATACCTATCATAATGTGATTAGTTTGACATCACTATACATTATGAATGGTGAAATGTAGTCATCAACAAATCCGCATACAGTGAATTAATAATTCACTTGGAATGTTTAAAACATTCAAACCGGATTTAAACAGATGAAACCAGACCAGTTCAAACTAGCAAATTTCAATCCAAGTAAAAACACCCTAATAACATTATACGAGTATTATGCCAAGGAAATGTGATTTGGTCCATCAAACCCCGGATGAGCTAAAGTTAAGGAGTTTTTTCTTTAAAGAAGCTAAAGTTAAGGAGTCAACTGCCCGCATATACATCTCTCCAATCTTCACTTGAATAAAAGCTAATTGCTCAATTTCACATGTTTGACGTAAGTACATAACATCTTTTATCTAATTGATTGATGCTAAACGCTACATTTTTTCTTTCAAAACCTACTCAGCGCAGCTTCTAAAAAACGATTTTTTTTTAAAACTCTTGGAAAGGTATTGCACCAAACATACGTACCACTTTTAGGATTTTTTAAAATAATACAAGAAATAGAAGTAAGGAACTTATGACTACCAAATATGCACTATGAGCAGACTCACCCCTATTTCAGCCCGGTTTGATAAGTCTCCGAACCAGCCAGTTCTGGGTCATTGAAGAGGCAATCCATGAGCGTAAAGCCACTTCAGCTCGAGTTTATGTAGCCGGCTCTTAGGGTCTTTTAAATATATTGGGTAATAAATATGTTGCTCAAAAGCACATTGTCACGAATTTGTTTAAACATCCCCGAGAGTAAAAAATCTTAGATAGAAATGACCGCTTCACCACCAGAACTGTCAGCGTCACTACTGCTACTACCACTGTCACTCCCGCTTCTACTACTGCTGCTGCTGCTGCTCGAACTACTCCCACTGCTATCACTACCACTGCTACTGCTGGAGCTTGAAGTGCGATGTTCGCTGCCGCCGCCTGCTCCATTAGTTTGTTGTACTCTGAGGTCTTCTTGAGCAGCAGTGCGTCCATTATCCTCTTCATCACTTCCATCCACATCAGCAAATTCTTCATTATCTACATTGTTTTGATGTGGTTTATTAATATCAATTTCTTCCACTATTATGTCCCCTCCTCCCCCATTGGCTGCCATATCTCCCTCCACGTCATCATCGTTCATTATATCTAGCTGTTCATCCAAGTCATCGCTCTTCGTCTCAGGAGACATGTTTGGCTGGTTGGCCAGTGGAGATGGTTGGCCATGTGACAAGTTTGGTTGGTTGCCTTGTGAAGATGGATTATCAGCAACTTTCTCGCTCTTAAGTCTCATGTCTACATCAAAGTAAATAATAGCAATATCCAAATTAGTGCATCATTACTAATACCCATTACTCTGGGAAATGAACAAGTCAACAACAACATGCATACATAATAAATCCATCAATGAAAAATATAGGATAGATCAAAATTCAAACCTGAGCTTTTGATGTCGCCAATTTCAATTCTTTCAACGTCAATCTGCGTGAACGAGCAGCACGGAAGTTTAATGTGAGTAATATTAGAGATACATGGCAAATTAGCTAACATAATGAAATGAAATAAGAAATATTGTATCCCCTTGTCTACTATCTTGCAAATCATGGAATTCTAAATAAGCGCGAAACCTCAACAAGGAATGGGAGAGGTGACATATGAAGCAGAAATGTCAGAAATATCAGAAAAACTGATTTTCCAAAACTAATATACCAAAACAGGATAAGGAACATATATACCCTTGAACTATATATTAGAGGGTGTATATACCCCTCAACAATTGAACATAAAGGATATATATGTCCTTTAACATAGTTTAGATGTAAGTATGCAAAAAAAAGTATGTGTATAAATCATATATGTAGTCATGTACACTCATATACATATAAAAATACACAGATACAGAGCTAAGCAGGAGCAGTAAATATTAATCACTTCATACAACAACATCCAAATGCCATGACTACTGTAGCCTTATTTCGGTCCTAGGAAATCTTATTTTCATCATAAAAAACTTTAGGGCTTCACCTAGTCTGAAAAAGGTGTTATTATTAAAGTAGAAATATATTAACATAGCGGAACTTACTGGTAGTGCACGAACAACACTATTCTGAGACTGGAATGTAGGTGCTTTAACAACAGGTGGAGAACATGACTCAGCAACTATAGGCAAAGAACCAGACGCCGAAGCAGATTCCCCAGGGAGCCGAACGTGTTTCAATCGCTTGACTGCCCGGTGCAGTCTCTCCAAACGGAAGGTCACACCATCAAAGAATAGAACAGCATCATTTTCTTTATAGTCCTCGCTACTACCCTCAAAGTTTACCTTGGGCTTCCCTGGCTGACTGTTCTGAAACTCAACTGTTACCCTATTATCCTTGGTTTTGTGCAACTTTCCTGGCTGGCTTTTATCAATTGAAGCAGGTTTAAACTCATCTGGATTGTTATGAACATATAAGAAATTGCATTAGGTTAAAATGCATAGCTGAACCACTGCAATGCAATTAACATAATATGAAACAAATGTAGATTATCAGCACACAGTCACACACACACAATCAACCATAGAGGGACAAAGGGAAACAAAGAAACATACAGCGTAATGTACAGAACTTGGAGGAAGGATGTTCTTCTTTGAATGTAGAGCCTAGCTTCAAATTGTACCACTGATCATGTTTTGGGGCAGTGTTGGGTTCGTCTTTGTTGTTGATGTTCATCCTCTTCTAGACTCGAAATATATTTTTTCACTGCTAGGTAGTTGGTGGCTTGGTGCTTTACACATCAGCCAGCAACTATCCTGACTCTGTATTTCTTCTTTAAAACAGCCAACTAAAAGTGAGGATCCTACAACATTATTATATCTGGTAAGTGGTAACACATCAATTAAATGCCTATACAGTGTGAGCACGAGAATGAAAATGATCTAGTGTGGCAGTGAAACAACAACAACAACATTCAAGCCTTAATCCCAAAAGAGTTTGGGGTTGCTAACAAGTGCGGTACTGAAACAGTGAAAGAGCCCATCTCAAGATAGGGGGCGTGAAAAAATTAAAGCAGAAAGCCAGAAACTTAGTTGAACATCAATCAACATATAGTAATTGAATTTATGTAAAAATTTCAAACTGATAAATACAGGTTAATTGAAAAGCTATTAGCCCCAGAAACATTAAACTAGTTATCTAATTATTTTTGACAAATACTAGCAGCATTACACTGCTGCATCTAGCCCCTATTCAACTGGCAGTAGAATCTGAAAAAGAAGAGCTTGAATAGAGAGACATCAAGAAGTGGTATGGGAAGTACCAGGCCCAGCCTTGACATTTTTAAGGCCCTGTTCAAAATCAAATTGTAGGCCCTAAAACAGAACATGAAAAAATATGATTTTTGGATTGATATTTTCTAATTTTAGGAGACATGATAAAAAGGTAAATAAAGAGATGCTCCATATCTTCTAGCAATGAATAAATACGGAATACAGAAGAAGTGTGGTAGCAGACACCAACAACCAGGCCCGGGCCAGAAAAATCAAATGGCCATGTTCAAAATAAAATTGGAGGCCCTAACTTTTAATACAAAAATCTAAAATTCAATACATAATTTTTTATTTAACTCTTCAATTCTTTTTTTTTTAAAGTTTTTCATGTACGGTTTCATATTTTCTAATTCTAGGGGGTGGGGGCGTCATAATTTATAAATTGTAAAAGAAATAAGAAATTCAAAAAAAGAAATTAACAAATAATGATATATATAAGGAAAAGAACGGCTGAACTGAAGAGCACCAGGAAGAGTTTGTGCCCCGCACCTGCTGGTGGCCACTTGCTAGTCTGCTAAAGTGCTACTCTGCTAGACTGCTACTGTCTACTGAGGTATGTGAATCTGCGGCTTGCTACTCAGCCACCGGCGTCTGGTTTCAATGATTAAAACTATAAAGGAATCAACTAATGAACTAAATGACTAAACCAGTGAATCAACGTAGTCAACAAAGAAGATTTAAGAGAAAAGATAGTTGCAAACCGGTCACCAAGTCGGCAATGGGAAGAAGAATTGAAGCAATCGCGAAATCAGGATAATGAGCTTTGGAAGATTTAAGAGAAAAGATAGTTGCAAGCCGGTCACCAAGTCGGCAATGGGAAGAAGAATTGAAGCAATCGCGAAATCAGGATAATGGGTTTTGGATGAAAATCGGATATCTTTATATATATAAAAGGGAAAATAGAAACTAATAATCCAACCTTTTAGCGATCTTCTTACAATAGTCCCACCTTTTGATTATACATGAATAATCTAACCTTTGCACCTCATCTTCATTCACTGGTCCCTGACCGGTTCATGACATGTTATTCCAAGTTATTTTCTTATATTTGCAAACCATTATACCATAAATCTCACCTTTCACAAAGATAATATTTTGCAAAGATAAGAAAATAACTTGGAACAACAGGTCATGAACCGGTCAGGGACCAGTGAATGAAGATGAGGTGCAAAGGTTGGATTATTCATGAATAATCAAAAGGTGGGACTATTGTAAGAAGACCGCTAAAAGGTTGGATTATTAGTTTCCATTTTCCCTATATAAAAAGGGGACCGTCTAGTCCCCAACTATTCCCGCCCAAGACAAAGAATGGTACTCACGTGGCAGACCATGGTTTTCAACCGGAAAATATCCAGAAAAATTGAGACAAGTCATTTACATTATTAGCAGTTACATAGTAACTTCCAATACTATGGCACGTTCACACGTGGCCATAAACATAAACGTTCAGTATATATTTTCACTCTTGACTTCTGCGGGGTACATGGTTTAGACATCTACCAGAAGTTCCTGATCACAACTTTACAGGTTAAACCAGCTGCACATGAACCCACACGTAAATCACCTATCTAATACCAGTATATCTATAGATTGTTTTAACATAATTAAAACATTGTTTGTTCTGAAAAGGTCATTGTTTGTTTCTTTTAACATCTGACATTTCTTATGAAATTTCTTCAAGAATATAAAAAAGTTTGGAAAATTCTTCGATCTCTACCATTTCTTAAGTAACATTGTTATTGTTTACTACTATTTTGATGCAGATATGCCAGCAAACAGATGGAGAAAATATTGTTCGACCAGATAAATGACCAGGTAATTTTCAAGAGAAAAATTGGTTAGTGTATGTGTGCCTACTTTAATGAAAAAAATGCATAAATTAAATCTTCTTATTCGAAAATCAAAACTATGTACCTGTAAAGCCGTAAAGGCATAAACAACATACATATAGGTGTAATCAAGTTGTGAAAATTAACAGACAGCATAGGCTCTGACTTTTTTATAATCCATTCTATTAGAAGTTCTTTAATATGCATATCCACGGTAAATGAAACAACTGTCTCTTTTTTATATGAAACAGAATTGTCTCTCTTTTATATGTTTAACAGTGTTAAATTATAGTTGTTGCTAAGTGAAAACATGATGAATTACATTTATAAAGCATGCTTTTGCTCAACATGTTTATTCTTAAAATCACCCATCATCAATATAAAATTTTACCGTACATTAACGAAATATATTTGTCAATGTTTGATCCATATTCAATGAGAAAATTCATATAATTGATCAATATTGATTGATGATATAATTACAGGTACAACCATTAATGTAAGTTAAAAACTGCAAATTCTAAGTGACCATACGTGGTCTTAATCTGAAACATGTTTTCTTTCAAAAAAAAAAAGATTATACTAAAACTAATTGTCAAATAAGTATCCTAGAAACCAAAAATTAATTTTAAGAAATATCAAAGAAACTATCCTCAAACAAAATATAGGGTTTTAAGTTCATCAAAACCCTATATTTTGTTAAATTGAATATGAAATATTACCTAAAGTTTTGCCTGCTAATATTAGCTGGCTAGAGATGATCGTTACCTCAAGATGCTAGCCATACAGAACAAGTTTAAAATATCGAAATCACCCGGTTGCATGGTTTGTTTAGAGACCGGCAGAAAAATTGAAGCATCGGAAGGAGTGAAAGTCGGCAGAGATAGATTTGCGATGAGCTACTGCAGTCGACAATGGAGAGAGGCCAAACTGCCGGACATTCGAGAGATTGACGGGAAAGGGTAGTGAGATGCCTCAGTTTATCTTGATATGGGCTTCCTTAGAGCTAGCGTTAGAAATGGGCCTATTATTAATTTTTTTGGAGGGCCAAAAAAAGAGAGGTAGAAGCTGTTCTCTTCGCCTGATCTGAATGTTTCTGATCTGAATTTTTTAAGTTCTGATCTGATCTGATCTGAATTTTTCTGATCTGATCTGATCTGATCTGAATCTTTCTGATCTGATCTGATCTGATCTGAATCTTTCTGATCTGATCTGATCTGATCTGAATCTTTCTGATCTGATCTGAATCTTTCTGATCTGGTCTGATCTGATCTGAATGTTTCTGATCTGATCTGAATCTTTCTGATCTGATCTGATTTGAATATTTCTATAATTATAATTATAATTATAATTATAATTATAATTATAATTATAATTATAATTATAATTATAATTATAATTATTATAATTGCAATTACAAATATAATTTAAATAAAATTATAATTATAATCGTAACTATAAAAATAATAATAATAATAATAATTAAAAGTAAATTTAAAATGAAAAAATTTATACTTATTACACTAATTATAAATATAGATATAATTATAATTGTAATTATATTTTTAATTATAATTACTTATATAATTATAATTGTAATTATAATTACAATATTTATCTCTATAATTGTAACTATAGTTATCAATATTATTATAATTACTCCGTAAAATAATTACAATAGTAATAATAATAATATTAATAATTATAATCATAAATTATAATTATAAGTATAATTATAATTATTATAATTATAATTAATAATAATTATAATTATATTAACATTAATTATAATATTATAATATAATAATAGTAATATTAATACAATTAATATTATAATAATGATATTATTATATTCATATTATTATTACAATAATATAATAATAATATGATTATTATTATTACAATAATATAATAATAATATGATTATTATTATAATTAGTATTATATTATTATAATATTATATTATAATGATAATGATAATGATAATGATAATGATAATGATAATGATAATGATAATGATAATGATAATGATAATGATAATGATAATGATAATGATAATGATAATGATAATGATAATGATAATGATAATGATAATGATAATGATAATGATAATGATAATGATAATGATAATGATAATGATAATGATAATGATAATGATAATGATAATGATAATAATAATAATAATAATAATAATAATAATAATAATAATAATAATAATAATAATAATCATGTTTGAACTTTTCTGATCTGATCTGATCTGATCTGAATGTTTCTGATCTGATCTGAATGTTTCTGATCTGGTCTGATCTGATCTGAATCTTTCTGATCTGATCTGAATCTTTCTGATCTGATCTGATCTGATCTGAATCTTTCTGATCTGATCTGATCTGATCTGAATTTTTCTGATCTGATCTGATCTGATCTGAATTTTTCTGATCTGATCTGATCTGATCTGAATAAAATAAGAATAAGCAATAAGTAATAAGAATAAGACGAACAGAACAGCACCGTAGTAGTAGTCCAGCCCAGAAGCTCTGTCCAATTTGCAACCACCTCTCTCACGCTCTGTCCGCTCGACTTGGAAACCGGAGCTCTGGAACGCGACGAAGGAGGACGAACGTCGACGACTCGCCCGACTGATCGACGACCGCCGCCACCCAGCGCCAGCCCGTCACTGGCCCACCGCGCCCCGCCTCCACGGGTCCAGTCAGTCCACCCGTCCTAAGTATTGCTCTTCCCCAGTTCTCACCCATAATTTTCTTCGTTCGTGCTGCTCAATGTCGGTGATGATAGTGACGAGCTTGGGAGATTTAGTAGTGGACTTGTTCACAGATCGCTGTCCTCTGACGTGCAAAAACTTTCTGAAGTTGTGCAAGTGAGTCCGCATGCTAACAATGGTTTCTATTGATTTATCATATTTCATTCAGCTTATTTAATGATTAGTGTGTTTGAGAAAGTACATTAGAAACCGATTAAGTTCGTCTGTTCATGCATAGTAGATATAAACACTATCGCACTAGCACCCCAAATGTTTACATATGATTCCGAGGTTGAGATCGAGTCTGTATTTTCAGCTCAAATTCCTACAAGTATTGCGGATTTGGTTTTTTATATCCAGAAGTGAATAAATCAACAAATGACTACCCGAGTTTGTTGTTAATTTGTTCACTGTAGTAAGTTGAAAAATCAAGTTCGTTTGATTTCTGTCCATACGAGCAACATGAAAGCAATTTCTTTGTGAAAAGGTCCATCTTTGTTCAAAATAACAGCTATTATACTCCGTAGCTAACCAGTATATTTTGTTTTAACGGTTAATCTTCGTTTTCCAATTGTAGGATCAAGTATTATAATGGTTGTCTGTTTCACACGGTTCAAAAGGATTTCACCGCACAGACGGGTGATCCTACTGGAACAGGATCTGGTGGAGATTCAGTGTACAAGTACGTTTCTAACTTATTAGTACTAAGCTTCATACCACATTCAAGCCACAGATGATATTTCACTTCATTTTTTTAACTTGTAGATATAGATTGTCCTGTATATATGCCACTTCGTTATGCACTCTTATTGCATATACTATGCGGTTCCAGATTTTTGTATGGTGAACAGGCGAGATTCTTTGGTGATGAGATTCATTTGGATTTGAAGCATTCCAAGAAGGGAACAATTGCCATGGCTAGTGCTGGGGAGAATCTTAATGCTTCTCAGGTACTGCTGTGGATCTTTGGTGGATGGTCTAGGCAGCATTCTGAGGCTTTATGTTTAAGTTGTTCTAAATATCCTTCAAGCCAGTGATGAGTGATGACCGATGATTATAGTTTTCATCTGAAGCTTCCAAACCGCCAAACACACATATTTCTTAGAGGCAATTGTTCTGTATATCTTTGTTTATGTTTGATTTCATTGTTTTCCAGTTCTATGTCACACTTCGCGATGACCTGGACTATCTTGATGGGAAGCATACTGTGAGTTCTCATAAAATTTGCTCAATTCAGAGCATTTTGTCCCTCTCTTTCATTTGATCTCTACCTCTCTCACTCTCCCACACACACAAAATATGTATGCTTGCATGCCATGCCTTATTCACCGACTTTACGGTTTTTGGACTATTCTTTTCCAAACAGATAATGTGTACATTAATCACTTTTGTTTGTCTGTCAATTGGTAGATGTATAATACAAAAATACAAATGATAATGCATTCTCAACCTGGCAGGTTTTTGGAGAGTTGGCAGAAGGAATTGATACACTAGACAGGATAAATGAATCTTTTGTAGATGAGAAGGGCCGTCCATTTAAAAACATCCGGTCAGTAGTCACTGCACTCAAATTATTTTGTTATCTTTATCCTCCTAGATTTGTTCTTTCCTCTTGCTGATGAATCTCCTCTTTCAGAGTCAAACACACTTACGTACTGGATGACCCTTTTGATGATCCACCCCAACTAGATGAGTTGATTCCAGTTGCTTCTCCAGAAGGGAAACCGAAAGACGAGGTAACAATTGTATATCTCCACATTTTTTCAAATCACACACAGCTAACTGCTCTCTGTTCTTATTTATCAGAATATTGGTATTTGTATCATAGTGGTCAAAGAGAAATGGAATTGCTTCATTGCTACAACAAGTTCTTATTCTTTTCTTATGCTACGTATTAATTCTATTTTCACTGTTAACCTGTCATGCATTAATGTTTTGGTTCTGAACTGAGCTTAGTGGTAGGCCTCTGAAGTCTGAACACAAAAGAACAGATCGTACAAACTTCATATTACACGTGCCACATAAAATGCATTTCTAAATCTACTTAGGTTGATGATGATGTGCGTCTGGAGGATGACTGGGTGCCTATGGACGAGCAAATAGGAACTCAAGAACTTGAGGAGATTCTGCGTGCAAAGGAAGCTCATTCCCATGCAGTTGTGCTTGAAAGTGTAAGAATTCACTGTGCCATTAAAATAATTTAAAATGAGTTAGGATACTCTTATGGAAATGGTAATTCATTCTAGTATCTTGCAATTACAGATAGGGGATATTCCTGATGCTGAGATAAAGCCTCCTGATAACGTGCTCTTTGTTTGTAAATTAAACCCAGTAACTGAAGTAAGTTATTACTACATTCTTATTCTTTATATGCTCCACAGAGGTTCTTATATATTCATTTGACCAAATGTACTGTATCGTATACACTTGCAGGACGAAGACCTGTATACTCTCTTCTCACGCTTTGGAACTGTGACATCGTAAGTTCTTATTTAGTGCTGCTCAGACCTGCCCCTCTCACCCCCACTAAACCCCTGATTCATCCTAGGGGTTTGCTGCTCTATTTCAGTTAAAACACATATATAATCAATTGATCAATGTCTTTAGTGCTGAAATAATACGGGACTACAAGAGCGGAGATAGTTTGGGTTATGCTTTCATTGGTGAGTTTCTCTTCATAAGTAATTACGGTAGCTTTGTTATGTAACACTATTTTGGGAGGTTTCTTAAGGGCTAGTGTTCCTTTTAATTTTTATACATATTTCTTGATTTTGTTGTTGTTTTGCTAGAGTTTGAGGACAAAGAAGCTTGTGAGATGGCATATTTTAAGGTAATATACAAATTTGTACTAATTTTTTTTTAAGTTTTACATTGAATATTTGAATGGTAAGTGTTGATAAGTACCATTTCAGATGTTTCATATTGGTGTTGTACTTGATAAAATTGAGACTAATAAAAATACTTAAAGAAATGATACTCGAAAAACCTCTCAAATTTAAGAGGTGATCTTCTCTTATTTTATGCCAAGCATTTGAGTCCTTATATACATATTACAGTGGGTAGTTCGTACTAGTAAACAAAGATGGAACGAATGCATGGGCCATGCATGACATGTTGCCCACGTAACTATGTTGTAGTAGCATGAAACTTTTCATATCAAATAATGAAAATGCATCGTATTTTAATGCCTGATTTAATATCTTAATAGTTCCTAGTCTTCCTACATCCCCTGCATGATTATTTCTTGATAAGAAATTTACAATTTAGCTTAACATTATTCATTTAATGCCCACATCATATATGGACTGCATGCAACTCAAAATAGTGAAAATACTAGGATTCTTTTTTGAACTCTTTGATACATAATCATGGCACTTAGTGCTATTTGAACTTAATCAAACACTCAAACAGTATTATATGGCATGTCTTTGTCTCTTTCAAATTGTTTAAAATCTTATGGAACTGTGGAAGATAGTAAATTGGAGCCCTTTTGCCACAATTAATCAAGATAATTTTTTCTTGAGATAAGTGTCAAATTGGCTCTCGTACTTTGTACAAAAAGTCAATTCTGCCCCCGTACTTTAACTTTCATAAATTATGCCCTTCTACTTCGAAAATTTCATCATATTCGTTTTTAGCAGGTAACCCGCCGGTCAGCAGATTACCTGCTAACGTGGCGCACATGTGGCCTGACGCGGAGCACACGTGTGCACCACATCATATTTTCTAATTTTTCCTTTCTCTTTCTTTCCCGTTCTCCCTTTGTTCCTTGGTCGCGATGAGGAACCTGGTGATGAAGTATCCATCTCTGGTTGTCCTTTTTCCTGCAATCTGACTGGAGATCCGAAAACCCTGAAACAGATTGATAGGAGATGCCCTGCTTGTGCTCCAGAAGGAGAAAAAGAACATCATCAGTTTCACTTGAAGCCCCTTTTGCAACTCGAGGAGATGCGATGCTTGTTCAGCTCCGTTTTTTTTTTCTGTTGCACAAAATGAGATCCCCTCCCCCCGCTTTTAGAATGATGAATATGAAGTCCACGGGGCCCTAGATACTATGGATCCTCTGACTCCAAATTGTGCTGCCTTCCCAGGTTTCGCTGTTGTTGCCTGTAGGTCATGATGTACTGATGTGCCTCGAGATGGCCGTCGCCTCTGGCCGGAAAGTTGCTCTAATCTTTGAGTCAGGAGATACCTTGGTGTGAGTGACCCATTTTCCCTTGGTATCCTGGCTCTAGGTGCTCGTAATTTATTTTGCTGGGAACAGAAAATTGATTTGGCCCCAGAATGGGTGTGCTAGCCCGCCGTTGACGGCTCTAGAAATTATTTGGCCATAGAAAATTGGCTCCTTGAAAGCTTCGTCATCTTATATCCAATCTGGTGAGGGAGGGAGCCAAAGGTGATGAAGTATCCATCTCTGGGGTCGTCCTTTTTCCTGCAATACCACCACGAAGTAGAGTAACGCCAGCAGCTTTGTTCCGTCATTGGTCACTGTGCAAGAAGAAATGGGGAACGGTGAAAGTGGTAGGGGGAGGGGAAGGGAAAGTAAAAAATAAAAGGGAAAGGAAAAGAAAATGTGACATGGCAGCCACATGTATGTTGTGTCAGTCCACGTTTGCGCCACGTCAGCAAGTAACCTGCTGACCGGCGGTTTACCTGCTAAAAAACAGATTTGATGAAATTTTCGACATAGGAGGGTGTAATTGATGAAAGTTGAAGTACGGGGTCAGAATCGACTTTCCGTACAGAGTACGGGGGCCAACTTCACATTTCTCTTTTTTCTTTAGTTTGAAAGTGTTTATGTATTCTCTTTATCTTATCATATTTATCTCACCTTATCTTTTTCTCTTATCTTTCTTTTGTTTTTGGCTTCAATATTATGTATCGATTCATGTTAGCCAACCTCAAAATCTTTTGAGACTAAGGCTTGAATGTTGTTGTTGTAGTTTGAAAGTTTTTATCGAAACAATATAATCTATCTTCTATCATTCTCTTGATTTCCTTTCTAAGTAATGAACAACTTTACTTGGTGGGAGAGCCATGGTTTTGATAAAACTAACACCTTGCCACATACTGATAGATGGATAATGCTCTAATTGACGACCGAAGGATTCATGTCGATTTCAGTCAAAGTGTTTCAAAATTGTGGTCAAGCTATAGACGCAAGGATCAAATGAGTAAAGGTCTGCTAATTTTTCCATCCTGTATTGGAATGGGTTTTTTGTTTACTTCTAATGGTTTTCAGGACTATCAATTGCAGTCTCGTATTTATTATGTACAAAATAGAAAACCAAAGGAACTTTGTATAAATATTTCGTATAGAGTTTGAATCCAGCCAATTTGATGAATGTGAGATACAAGAACAATGTAATCTAGATCAAAGCAAAACCAACAATGTAACACACGAGAAGCACTCATTGAGTTGTTGTAGCATTTGCATAGCAAAAGCAGCACAATGAATTGCAATTGTTTTTTTTTTTTCCCTTTTGGGCACCTCTTTTGGAGTTGCTAACATTTGTTTGTCTAAGCAGGAAGTATTTGCTTTAAGTGTGGTTCTGTTGATCACATAGCTAAGGACTGCTCAGCAAAACAGAATAATCCAAAATACACACTTAAAGAAGCTAATAGGCAGCATGGTGGAGATGATAATTCAAGGTGATACAAAATGAGTGTTCCCAAATTGTCATCCCTTCACCCCCTACACTTCTTCATTTTCTAACAATTACATCTAATATACATCTCTTCAAGGTTCGAAATGGTATTTGATGAAGATGCTGCTGCTGGTAGTCCAAGGGGAAATAAAAGGCAAAGAGATCGTGGAGCTGAAGAAGGTTATCCAAAACAGAATGTTAAACGTAGGGGTTCTGATGATGACTTGGACCGAGATGAAGGAAAGAGAAACCCACATGATCGCCATGGACATCATCATGTTCATACAAGTAAGGAAACTAGAGAAGATATGAATAGAGGAAGTAGGGCAAACTCATCTCGTGGTGAAAGGGAGAGAAGAGATCGCAGGGGAAGCCCATTATCGTCTGATGACAAGGAGATATCTTATCCAGAGCACAGGTATACAGGACGTAGGGAAAACCCATCATCACATGGTGTAAGGGATAGCAGAGATCATAGGGTAAGAAATTATTCTGACGATAGGAGGAAAGATAGTAGTAGCCACAAGGATAGAAGAGGGGAGGCTGAGAATGATAGGAGGAGAGATGGAGCTGTACAACATAGAGACAGGACAGATGAGAGAGAGTATGAGAAGAGAGACAGGAGAAGAGAGGACGAGCACAACAGAAGACGTGGAGAGGATCGTGATGATAGGCGGGGTAAACAAGTGTCTGAAAATAAGGGTAGACAAGATGATGATGATGATGATGATGATGATGATGATGAAGGGAGGCGTGCAAATGGAGCTAGCCATAGGGACAAGAGGGATAAGAAAGAGTTTGAAGAGAGACACAGTGATTATTTGGCAGGACGGAAAGGAAGAGCAGATGAACATATTCATGATAGAAAGAGTAGTAGAAGACCATGAGTTGACCAATGTGTCATGCTAGTTTTCACAATGACAACATCGCATGAAGTCTCAAAAAAGCTCAGTGGAAAAATAGTGGAAAAATACTACCACCCTGTTTCTTTCCCAGAGAAAACTCTGCAAGCTATATATTGTAAAACCAATTTTATTAACACAAAATTTCTGGGTAGGCATATAGCGGCTGAATGCTGTTTGTGGATTCAGGGTGGTGCAACAACCTTTTTGCTGAAATGGGTTGATTTTGGATACTTATTCTGAAAATCAGATCACAATACGTGGGAACTTTTTCATTTGAAAATGTCGCCTTTATCCTCTTGAAACATAAAAAGTAGATTAATAGAAAATGAGACTGGTACGTTTCCAATCACAACACAACTCTGAGTGAGAAATCTAGGAAATATGTGAAACGTAACATGAAACACAACAAATCAACAATCTAGGAAATACGAGTACTTTGTGTTTGTTAATGAAAATCCAATGCTAGTTGCGGTGGACACTATTGGTATGGTTCTAGACTTCTAGTTCTTAATTTGTTAATTCTTACATTGGGAGGCTTTTGAGGGGAAATTGAAAAGTGGGAGAGGGGAGTACGTACTGCAACCCCAGTCGACTCTTTGACCTCTACTGGCCGAAGGCCCGAAAGAAAGCCAAAGGACAAAAATGGGGCAGTCTGTTTATGCAGTAGCTAGCTGGGATAGGATGGACCAGGCCGAGCTGAGGCCCTGGGACGGGTCTAGGTGGGTTTGGGGTTCGGAAAATCAGGCCCGGTATCGGCCTGGGTTGGGATCAGGACCGGGTCAGGCCGGGCTACCCGGGCAAGCCTCGGGCTGTTTATTTTTCCTAATTTTGTTTAAAAATTAATACAAGAAGTGCTAGACAATAAAACGTTAAAATATATTTATTTGAAATATGAACTACACTTGAGAATTGAAAAAAATTTAAAACATTAAATACATTTCCTAAAAATCAGTCGGAATCTCTGGCACCGTAGGTTGTTTCCTCCATAAAGTGGCCGGGTGGGGGTGATGCTAACTTCTTGAGTTCTACGCTGGGCCTTCAACCAATCGTGGAAGCAAACATGCATTTCAAGAGATTTTGCAGGCCGCACTAAATTCTTATTCCACGACAACTGTTGATACCAGCATTGATAGCACTTGCTTAGTCATCTTTGATAAAATCGGGAATGTACTTTCTTTGTCCTCCCACCACTGCATAACATCAAAGTCATCCCCTTCTTCATAGTCACCAGGAAACGTTAGATATAAAGAAAGCTCGTTAATGGAGCTTTGTGCAATAGTGGTAGTTGATTTACTTTTTTCATAAGATTGTCAAATGTAGATTTCAAAAATGATTTTCCTTTAGATGAAGAAGATGTTCGTCTCGGGGGAGGGGCACGTTGCCATATTGTTCATGAAACTCATTATATAATTGATGAAATAACTTAGTAACCCCGTTGTATTGCTCTTTAGGATCTATGGGCTTATCTTTGTACATAGGTAATGGACCAAAAAACAAACATAATAGTACTCTAAACAATTTTGAAAAGCATTAAGTTTGAAACAAGGATCAAGAATAAATGCAATACCATATGTGAATAGTATTTTAAAAACTTTTCTTTCATAAAATCACAAAAATAATGAACGTAAGACCACTTAGAGTGGTGAGGTATTAGGAGTCCAAAATGTTTAAGATGGAAATTTTGGACTCCTAATTTCATTTAGTGGTGTGTTATAGAGGGTAGTAAAAGTAAGTAAGTGAATGGAGGGTTCTAAAAAAAGAGGGAGGATTGACAGGGGAAAAGAAAAGGAAAAAGAAAAGAAAAAGAAAAAGTAGGCCGCCTCGTGCATAGGTTATGCATTCCGCTGATGTCACCGTGATGTCATACTGATGTCACTATAATCCCAAAAGATGTCATACTGATGCATTCCGCCTCGTGCATAGGTTATGCACGTACGAAAAACCAGATTTTTCGTTATGTTAAATGTGTTGGTAATCGGGTATATGACTAAGGCAATATGAATTAGTTGTCAACTTGACTACATGACAATGAGGTTATGCTTTATTAATAGCATGAGATAAATGGATTGTCAATAACTCAATATGAGATAAATAAACATGCTGATACCTCTAGTTCATCCATTCAGTTTGCCAACTATATTTCAAACGATGTTCAGTTGAAAATACATTTTAATTATTATTTTTTGCTATTTTAGCAAGTTTGTGAAAAGAGGGCAGTCACTTCCAGCAAATTCACCCTAACAAAATGGAATCGTTATCTGGTAGATACTTTATTTATGTCTCCTTCAATCTCATTAAACTCAGGTAAGTTGTTTTGTTCACTTGTTCTGTGTGAATTTTAACTTTGATGAGATTTGTGATTTAGTGGAGATGACATGTCAGGAACCAATCGATGTCTGGTTTATTGAGTTTATAACTTTTGATGGCAATATTTGGAATGTGAAATTTTTAATTATTCATAAAATAAAATTAAAGATAAGCATTTCTTATAATAACTTAAGTAATGTTTTATAAACTCAATAAATTAAAGTAATTTTTATTGACGATACTGGTATATAAGAAAAATGTATTGACTGAATCGATTCAATAATGTTTTTATGTTTTTTATACTGAAGGATTTATAATACTTCGTATAATTTTATTGAGGAAGAGTTTGCGAATACATATAAAATGAGACGAATGCAGTATTTTATATATAAAAAGATGTCTTAACGTGTAAAATGCAAAATTTTAACTTTTTATGCGTTTTGATGCACTTTTTTGTTACTTTTTTTACATTTGTACGAAAGTCCATTTATCACTTAATTGCCAGTTGTCAATGTCATTTTTTTTAAATGCATTTTGTGCAAATGTGAAAATGTGCACTAAGTGAACACAAAGGTGCATCAAAAGTGAAAATTTTGTATCTTACATGTTAAGACATCTTTTATTTGATCCGCACCCTATATAGAAAAGTGAAAATTTATTAAAAGCACTCATCCAAGTGATTTCAACTTTTATATGTTTTATTTAAGTAGAAATGATTCAAAAACATCAATTTCTACATTTTAAAACCAAAAACAGAAAATCATTTTTTTATACTCTTACTAGCCATCTTGGGAATGCAAAGTATAAACTGCGAAAATGTACAAGCTCTGTCAAACACAAGTTCTTCAAGGTTGAAATTCTTGAATACACTACTTCCCCTTTCTATCTCATTTTCTATACCCAATTCTTTGAATTCAGAGTCTCCTCTGGTCCCCAAATTCTCTCAATTCTTCGCCAATTTCAATCCCAAAATCAGTCAGCGACTGTTAAAGAAGCCCTCTGTGGGTGCAGGGTATTCAAGAACACGCATTCAAGCTTCTGAGGACGAGCATAGGAAAAGAACATGAAACAGCTTCAGCACAAATAACTCCATCCAAGTTCCAGGTACTATCATCATTTTCAAAACCATTTCTGTTAAAATTATTAGAAATTGTTATAAGTAGGACTAAAACTTGGACAGAATGGAAAAATAGGACTATATGTATTATATTCCCAAAATAGAACTTACTTGATCCTATTAAAAGTATAAAACTTTCCCTATTAGGAGTGAATAAGTCCTATTTTAGGAAGAAAACAATGATAGTCCTATATGTGCATTTAATTTATGTGTTAGTCCTATATAAGGAATATTACAAATTCTGTCTGGGCGGGAACATTTGACATTATACGACCCATTCTTGATCATTAAAATTTTTATTGTGTGTGTCAGTTTGTGTGTATCCGGTTCCCTACATTTACTAGTCTAAAGAGTTCCTCTATTATCCCACCCCATTAATATGGCCAAATAACGTAATTATGTTTTAGGATAAAAGTTTGTATATATGAATTGCTATTTGGGCCATCCTGGAGTGAATGTAGGGGTGTCTTGCTTCAACCTTTAATCTGTGTATATGATGATATAACGTTTGCTATATTAAAGTCTGTTATAACACCTTTAGTGATTAATGTTTATTATATGATCAAGTATTAGTTTAGCACTTCAGTTTGTGAGTGGGATTTTTAGCTCTGCACAGTGGCGGACCCAGAGATTTGTGAGAGCGGGGACACACTAGACACTAAAGTTAGTCTATAATAAAAACTCCACATATAATAAAAATGGTAAAAAAAAATTGTATTGAATTATGCAGAATAGTTAATTACATATTAAATAGTTCACTGCTGCAACTTTGGTAAATCAAGCCTACGAGTTTTCATATTCTGAAAATGTTGCATAATAGTTTCATTATCGATGCTTCTAAAAACATATCTCTCGATGTAGCACACCAAGAATCCGTAAGATAGTCATCTCTCATCTTATTGCGAAGATCTGTCTTGATAATATTCATCGCAGAGAAAGCTCTTTCAACGGTGCCCATTGCAACTGGTAACACTAAAGCCAACTCAATCAGACGATATACCAAGTGAAAAGAATTGTGAACTTTAAGCTCATCCATCTTCTTACAAACTTCACCAATAGTTTGTACGGCAGAAAATAACTCATTTATTCTCATTTCATATATCAACACTTGGAGTTGCTCTTTGAGCTCCATTCGATCAACAAATGAAAAAGCGCATGAATATAACTCCGCAAGGTTCAGTAGCTTTGACTCACACACATTGGAGAACTTATCTCTAGGATCAAGGCATCTTTTATTTTAATTCAGCTAAAATTTAAATATTTTGTATTATTTTTTTATTTATATAACCGTAACATTTTAGTATCTTAATTATCAAATACCGGTATGAAGACGGGGCACTCGTTTTTTATCCTAAGTACTACTAGTGAAATTCCGGGCTCGAAGCGGGGGCATGTGCCCCACCTAGCCCCCCTTAGGTCCTCCACTGGCTCTGCATGTGTATGTGGTTGTGGGAGGTCAGGTAGTTTTAAAGGGATTTGACTTGTGCTGGATAAGCGATTAAATGGCTTACTTTACAGCCTCTTTTTGGGAAAAATGCAACCCATGATATTTGAAAAATTCCTCAGAATAAATTTCATTGTTACTAACTTACTATTGCAGAAAGAGGACACTCCTTGGTCAAATTATTTCTATTAAACCCAGGAAGCAATGAGGGCATCATCCTCAAAGCAAGGTGCTGATAACAACCATAGTGTTAGAGGCCACTTGCTTACTCTTCATCAGCGCCTTCAACATGCTCTTGGTCTTGGATCTGGGTAATTCAAACTATTATTATTATATATTTAGATGTTCAATAAATTGCCCATATAGCATTAAAATAAATTTCTTACAATAGACTATGCTGTTGTTGTAGACTATGTTGTCTTTTTGGCTTTTCGCGCCATTAGCCCTCAAGGCTTAACTTTCTTGTTGCAAGA